CTGCATCCTGTTTCCATAGTCTTTAGGGTGGGGGAAGGGGATGCAGAGGGATGATGGCAGATTTGCAAATAATAACATTTATATTCACTCAGTTATTTTTAAAACATCAGAAGGAATTGGTCAAAACCATCACATGGGATAATGTGCAAGCTCTATAAACCTTGTATTATATTTACAAGACTGCATATTATTTGAGCACGAATCTAACATCAGCCAACACACATTGCATTGTCACATATTCAGATCAGTATATTAGTGGTGACAGGAATGCATTTTCTTTTGGAAGGAATAATTACTGGGTTATATGTGGTGAATGTCTCAAATAGACCATATAACAGAAAGAATTCAGCACTGATAATAAACTGCTGGAGATGGTTTAGTAATCTATGCAGTACTTTGAAATCTAGTCTATCTGAAACTAACTCTGAATCCCAGCAGAACTGTCTCAGCCCTTCATCTTTCCAAGAAAGATAAATGGGAGCCCACGCCATTTACTACACAGGTGTCTTTCAAAGAGAGCATTAAAAATTGGTGGCCTGCCTGTCTTGAATGGATACTTTCTTGCACTTTCTGTGAAAGCTGAATGTTGTCTAAGTGGACCTGCCCAAAGTTTTCGCCCAGTCAGTACAGGCCCTCAAGCCCCTGAGATAGCTATATTCCAGGAGTGCATGAAGCAATTCCTAAATGTGTTGCAATTCTGCTAACAGTTATTTCAAAGCATAGTTCTTATTACCATAAAATGATCCCTCTGAATCACTAGAATTATCCACAGTAGTGCATCGGAAAACAGGAATTGTCCACCAGATCAGACTGGTGGCATCCGTATTTATTGCATCTTGGGTAGAGCCAGAAGGCAGAAGTAACAATTACTGCTGAACGCAATGCAAGGGACCTGTTTGTGAACAAGTCTGGAATAATTTGTTCATAATGGTAACTCATTTCTAGCTCCAGACAGCGGTGCCCTGAAACATATCATTTTAAAAATATTGAATATCTACAAATCATCATCCTGTCAAATGTCTAATCTTTTGCAACTTCTAGCAACTATTTTGCAGGTATATCTCAGTGATATCCAGTGGGGATGAGAACCATATTAACTATATGCTGTGTAAAACGTATTGCCTTAATTAGTTTTACATTTCTTGCTTTAACATTTTTTGAATAGCATCAGTATTCCTGTATTATGGGAAAAGAAGCACCTGGCTTACATTCTCCAAAATGAATTTTTAAAATGTTTTTATGCCTCTGGCATGCTGCTAATTTATCTTCTTCCTAACTAAATAGTCCCAACTTTTCAATCTCTCCCTATCTCACTATGCAGAAGTTTTCCATGCCTCTTGTGTCGCTCATCCTCCATATCTAAACACCCCGCTCTTTATGGTGCATCTTTTTTGAGATAGGCAGGGTTCGAATTACACTCGGACGCTTGCAGGGGATCTGCAGCGGTCGCAGCCGGAAGGAGCCGCTGCCACCTAAGCTGCTGAGAAAGGCATGGGGTGGGCCGGGGGCTCTCATCTCTTATTGGCCCTCCCAAAACCCTCCCCCCCATATTTTGAACCCTGGAGATAGGGTGACTTGTAACAAAAACACGATTTAAGGGAACTTACTAATTTATATAATGGCATTATGGTATTTTTTAGCATTATTTTTATTTATTTATTTATTTTTATTTACCCCAAATATAAGAATGGATTAGGAGTGAACTGCTGTGACTAGAGTTCACGTACACAGAGTAACTTAACCAGCTGGCTACAGTACTGCTAACAGTCTGTAGCACAGCGAGTCTCAACCAGGGTGCCATGAGATCCTTTTAAGGGTGATCCTTGATATTAGTACTGCTCAGTGTGCAAACACCGACACGATTCACAAAATAAACCCAGAGCTTTCAAATAAAAAGCCACAGTGTGAAAAATATTCTAACTTGTGGTCTTTCCTAATTCTTTGTAGCAGAAAATTTGATTTATTATTTTTTTCTTGGTCCAGAAACAAGTGAAAGCTGAGAGCTGACATTTTCTGAGGGGCACCTTGAGTTTAAAAAGCTTGAGAACCGGCGCTGTAGCAATATATAACTCAATGCAACCTACAAAGCCCACCCAAGAAATTGCACAAATAGTCAAGTGGGACATTGGTCCTGATATCCGGGCCTGTTAGTTTCATGCTAGCTCAATCATGTCTATCTGAGCTACAGGCTCTACAATGACCACAATGTAGACATACCACCCTTTTTTCACTAATTTTTCTCCCCACACTGCACAAAGAGTAAGGCTTTCACTGAACCTAAGCAATAGGTTTAGTAATGTTTCAAAATCAGGCCATGAAGCGCTATGTGATTCTTCAGACTGAAAGGCATGACTATAAACATAGATTATAAAGAAAATCATGAAACAGTATTACCCATTTTCCATTTTGCACCCCTAAAGTTACAGATCACTCATATTTGCACCATGAGAATCCCAGGGAGTACGGTGACGGGGATATCACATTTACCATTGAACTTGCCTGGACGGTAGAATCGACAAAGTTATTCAAGCAGCTACTTCTTTCAGGAAAAAAACTCTTGAAGTTAAGGAGGGAAAATAGTATTTTCCTTTCTATCAGTATCAACTAAGCTTAGTGGCTATATTAACAGGCACTTTAGAAACACCAAAGGAAGTATATCCCACGAAATAAAAAAGAATCTAAAATCTGTTATTGGATGCTGAAAAGTAGTAATAAATTACCTACTTATCTCAGCTAGTTTTTCTAAATACATACTGTGGGTCATTTTTCACAGCTGAATATAATTGTTACAAAATATTGTCCTAAAATAGACCAGGCTTTCAGAAACTTGCATTTCAGTTCATGCCACAGTGCATTGAGGATACATTGAAATGTAGTGAGGCATGGTATATTCTCCAAGTATTCTTCAGGCAGCATAATAAATATTAAAAATCAGCTGCCCAAAAGCAAAGCAGACAGCAGAGTGATAACCAATATCATTTACAGATACATCACTGTGTTTTCTAACTCCACATATTAATCTTTAAAAAAATTGGGAGTAATATATTTGCTGCTTTACATCTCTATATAGCATAAGCCCCTGCTGAAAAATAACAAAACCATCATATATTTAAGCATATTTTTGATTCAAGGACACCCTGAAAGCAATATCATGCAGCATAAGGCAGTCTTCAGACTCTTCTAAAATGGCATCTTAATTTGTGTGTGTAATGCATTACAGTTAAGTGCATGTTGCAGTGTTGGGAAGCACATCAATATGCATGAAAAGCGCATCTGGAAGTTAATGAAAGGATAACTTCGCTCATTAGTGTGTGCATGCATGTTTTCATTTGCTCATTGCCAGTGCTTTAAAACAAGATCTTTAATTAGAAAAATTTGGGATGGTCCACCTGATAACAAAAGGGGGGGAAAAAAAACAACCCATCTGGAACAAAAGCTGACAGAAACTACATGCATAGCCATTACAGAGCTTAATATTTTAAGTGGTGCTGCTAGACACCTGTAAAACGTAGGGACAACAGGATGTATTTGGGAGCGGAGGATTCATAACTTATTGGACTTTGCAAAGGCCTGGCTTGCAAGAATTCCTGCATTCCAGTTGTGGAGCCAAAAGTAACTTGCTGTGTGACTTCGGGCAAATCCAGTTTCTCTATCTGTAAAATGGGTGAGGGGTCTTGTGAGGATTTAGTACCAGGCTGTAAAGCACTTTGCAAATATAATTTTCATTCCATCCAGGAAGAGCACACACCAACTGCTGCAGCTTCCTGAGCCTGACGAAGGGTTTTTGAACCCGAAAGCTTGCTTAATAACTATTCTCCAACCATTTGGGTTGGTCTAATAAAAGATATCAAATTCACCCAAGGAACCTTGTTTGCAAATATAAAGCATTGAATATAAAAATGCCAGTTTTAGCATTATGCAAACCTTATCTTAATCATTATGCTCGTGGGTCTGACAAATGGAGGGAAGGGAAATTCAAAGTTAGATTTGGCTTACAGGATTCTCCCTAGTTTTCTTTTTGATGAGTAACATCTGCATTAAATACAGTAAGGGTGCCCTAAAGAAAAGCAAGCAATTTTAACATGGTTGCCTGCTGTAATAACCTTTTTTATTATTATTAATACCAGCTTTGAGGAGAGATTAAATAAGAGCCACATTTTTGATTTTCTTACATTACAAGCACATAACTAAAATCACCACTTAGGATTTCCAGTATGAGGCAGTTTGTGTCTGACAAAGATAAGATAAAAAAAAGAGCTATGCATATATTTCTGCTCAATTCTCATTTTTCTCTAAACAACAAATGTAGAAATTTCTCCCTAACTTCCTCTCATGACTGATACTGCCTATTCTTCATCATGTAGCTCCCTCTGCCCTTCCCCCACGCCTTTGGAGCTGTATTTACAGTGCACATTGATTGCGTCTCTGCAGATATAACAGTTCTTTCGCGTGTGCTGCTTATAATTATAGCAATGTGTGTCACTCCGTAATAAGACATCCAATTATTTTTGGCCTTGTGGACTGTAACCCTTTCAACTTGCAATGCCAAAAACTGGGAACTTAAATCCTAAATAAATGAGTCTGTATTTGAACTTTTCCTTCTAACACAGATTCTAACTGGCCACTTCAAACTGCAGTACTTTAACTGCAAGGAACTGCTGCCAGGCTAACATCATCAGTCCCTAAGCAATAACATCTGTTTTAACACTACATACATTTTGACCCTTATATTTCCTAACACACATTACCTATACAAAACAAAGCAAGACAAAGTTGTGCCAGAGTTTGAAAAATAAATGGGGGGGGGGGGGGGGGGGGGGAGGAGAGAAATGAACAATGACGTAATAGAACTGACAGGAGAGCATTTTAAAAGCGATAGGAACAATCGTTAATCTTTTATCTATAGATTTCCTCTAGGAGATTCTTCCTGATAGGCAAATACCTCTGCACTTTTCCTGCTAAAATCTCCCAAAAAATAACAAGAATTAACTGAAGCTTACCTGTACTGGAATGTCATATTTGTAATTTTTATCTTTATTTCCTCTCCGTGGCGAATTTCTCCAGTCATTTCAAAGAGTTTGTTAGCCATTTTCTCATAAACTTTGGCATTCCTTTTAGTTTGTTTCAGTTCATCAAAAAATTCTTCCCAAACCAGCATTAAACCTCTCATTTCTGCATCAGTCCAGTTTCTGGCCCTTCTGTGTTTCTCAGTCTGAGAAGAAACAATGTAACTGGGAATTTCTGCTGCAGCCATTGCTGACTGACCTAAAAGGGTTTTAAAAGAGGACACTTAATATAGATTGAGTTTTTAGTTTAGGTTTTTGTAGTGCAAGACATGCATATGTGGATAAAGAATTTGAATGACAACAGAACATATGAAACCTTTTTGCAACAGCTTGAAGCTTGAGTGCACAAAATGGGGCCTACATCTGACAGGCAGGAATTTAGTTAAAAGCTTTTAAACAGAGAAACGTCATTTTGATGTCACGTTTCCATAGCAACAGAGCAACTGCATAAGCTACAACAACAAAAACCTTTTAACTGAAAGCCAAAGAATCAGGACAAAGTTGACAGGCCATCAATATTAAAGCTTTTAAACACTTTAGGTTTAACAAAAAAAGATCTATGCAGCCTTTGAGAAGCTACTTTTAAGTTTCTACTTCTTTTTAGCTTTCCCTTACCTTTTAGGCAGACAATCTGCTAGCAGGGGGTCATGGTCGCCTGAACGAGCTTTTAAGTTGCGCCTTGACAGACTCTCTAGGAGGTTGCAAAGACTGAAGCCATGTACACAAAAAAAAAAAAAAGCTTTTTACAAAGATTTTCTGTAAAAAGCCTCACACACCTTTATGAAACCTATCTGTATCTACAATATAATACATGTAGAAGCAGACCGTCTCGTTAAAAGGTGTCTGCATCGGTTTTCAGGTATACACACAAACAAACAGCATTTAAGTGAGAGAGAGATATTAATTTTTTTTAATCTGAAGCCATTTTTTCCCTGAGATGTTTTGCTGCTGATAAACGTATACTGCAGTCCTGTCAGTATGAATTTGCCTTTTGTAGGTATGCATTACTGTGTGTGTATTTTGTATTCCTAGTAATTTAGATGCTATTTATGCTATTTTATGCAGCCTGCGTTCTGCCTTAAGACTGCAGCAGAGACATTTCACCTGCTTTATGGAAGACCTAAAAGGACTATTCAATGAATTTTTTTTAAAAGGCTGCAAGATGCTTAGAACTGTGAATAAATTGCTCTGTTGTAAAGTAAGCATTTCGTGGTAAAGGGCTAGATTCTGCCCAAAGTTACACCAGTGAAACATCAGTGATTCATCCTATTAAAATGTACACCAAATTAAAGGCCAAATTCTGCCCTTACTTCCACCCATAAAACTTCATAATATCTTTCATTAAACATAGCAAGATGCAAAGGATTTAGTAATTCAAGCAACGTGATAAGCTAATACAGAAGATGTTAATTCTCTACATCCCAAGTAAAGCTGCCTCTTGCATGAAAAACACACCATTGCTTATTTTCAGTCTCAGCGTATAGCAGAAATAACGACCTCACTGCAGGGCATTTCCTGGAGATTAATGACAGGCGGGGGTTAATGGCTTGAGGCTCCCCCAGCCAGTCGTTAATCCCCAGGAAATGTTCTGTGCTTCAATCCTTAATGCTTAAGTATCCTATAAATTGTAAGTCTTCTCATAACCACATCCTTGATCTTAACAACAGTTAAAAAAATGCACAGATTGGGTTGCATCCTGGAGAGTGAGAACACATAATGGTCCTAAAAGGCATGTTAAATAAAATTTGTAACCTCACTGTCTTTCCTCCATTTTAATTCATTACAAATTGCACCAAAAATACACTATAGAATAAATGAAGGGGGGGAAATCAAAATTGCTCCACCTCAGTATTTCTAGTGACCCACCCCTGACATTTTTCTATGTGG